TCTGACTGCATGAAGGCAGCAGACTGCGATTTTCTAGTCCAGAGACTGCACTAGGGGGTATCAATTTTTGAGTGTTTTTAGAAACACGTGTTTCTCGATTTTGACGTGTTTTTATTTCGCACAAAAATCTTACGTAAGCCCACTCAAAATTGAAAAAACACGTGTTTCTAAAAACACGCCTCCGGACCAGGTAAAATGGACTCACTTTTTCGTCACTCTCCAAAATGAAGTGCGGATGCACGGATGCGCATCCGCTTGCTTCACTTCATCACACTGGTGTGTCATATCCTTCATTACTGTGCATCATATCCTTCATTACTGTGTGTCAAATGAAGTGCGGATGCGCGGATGCGCAACCGCTTGCTTCCCTCCTTCATTACCGACAATGTATTTGATAACATGCGTGTTAAATCGAACCAAATGTCACATTTGTTGCAAATGTGTTTTTAGAAACACGTGTTTTTTGGATGCTCCAAAATGGGGTGTTCAAAAACGGGAAAAAGTCGTCAAAATCGAGAAACACGTGTTTCTAAAAACACTCGAAATTTGATACCATCCTACTGTGCAAAATCCTATACAGCATAGCGCAGCATGTACAAGGTCACTTGAGCATCAACTAGAACACCATCCTCAATGGTACGATGTCAGCTAAAGCAACATCAATCATAGCGGACGACTTGGGTGTCTATAAGGAGCATATTCAGTATTCCTTTGCGTACTGAGAGGACGCAAAGAGAACAAACTATATACACAGCTGATCAAGCGAAAAGCAACCGTCATCTCTTCTGTTCTTGATCTTGTACCTTGCCAAACGCGGGTCGCTTAGGACCACACATCCAACAGCAACCTGCTCCTCTCCTTCAGCAACTTCATCTCCTTCTTTCTTTCCTCTGCACTACCCTTTGCCTCCTCCAAAATCTTACCGAACACGGTCTCTACATCCTGAGCCATCCCCTTTGCTTCACCGCAGATATAGATGTATGCCTTCCTCTCCAAAATGTCCTCCGCAATCTCCTTTCTCCTCTCCCAAATCAGATCCTGAACGTAAAGCTTAGATCCATCAGCCTTAAACTTCTCCCTAGAAAGCGAAGTCTCCATGAGAAACTTGCCACCGAGCTTCTCGCCGTACTGCGGCCACTCGTCTCGGTACAAGAAATCTTCATTTACCCTCCTGCAACCGTAGAAGAGCCAGATATTGCCCCAATCCTTCAAAGCTTCAGCTGGCGACTTGCCTGCCTTCTCCACCGCCTTCTCCGCACTGCAGACTCGGTCCTGAACGAACGAGCGGAAAGGTGCAACACCAGTGCCAGGTCCAACCATGATAACCGGGATCTTGAGCGAGGTGGGCAAGCGGAAATTAGATCGTCGAATGTGAATAGGTGCTCTGAACAGTCCATCCTTGGTGTAAGCTCCACGAGGACCAGTCAACTGGTACTTGGGGGTACCGAAACGAGGATCGTTGGGACCAGTAGGCTGCTCGCCGTTCTTCTCCATCTTGATGCTGCTGATGAAGTTCGTCGCCAAACCGTGGACCCAGGGACCCGACTTGTTAGCCTGGTATCGAAGCACCACAGCGGTAATGTGAACCGACTTGGGGTGCATCTTGGGGCTAGACGAGATCGAGTAGAATCGAGGTCCGACGCGAGGCAAATCCGAAATGACGCGGTCGAAAGGAATGTTCCAAGGCCTGATAGCACTGACGTCACCCTGCAAGTCGTCACCAGCGAGGTACTGCATAGCTTCGGCGGTCTTGAGAAGACGGCTGCCGATCTCGGCCTGGAAAGTGTCCTTGTTGGCGCAGATCTTCTCCACCTTGGCCTGAATCTCAGGCCAAGGTGCATACTTGGCAAAGTTGTTCAAAGTTTGTCGAGAAGCGTGGCTGGTGATGTCGAGGTAGTGACGGAAGACAGCTTCGTAGGTGGTAGGGACGGGGAAGGGAACCTTGGCGAGAGTAGGGTCGAGCGACTCTATGTCGATGACGGTAGTGCGCTTGTCGAGAAGGCCAAAGACAGCCAAGGCGCGGTCGACTTCCTGTTCGGGGTTGTGGGCCCATACGGCAATGTGATCACCGTGATGGTAGGAAATACCGGAGCCTTCGATGTCAAACTCGACATGCACACAGGTGCGGTCGGCAGTTCCTTGGACGAAAAGCTCGCGAGCCTCCTTGACGACAGCGTTGTAAGGGTTCTTGGCATCGTGGATACCCTTGGTGCCCAAAAGGGCACGAGCGGAAAGCTCGCCGTGGTGAACCTTGTCTTCGGGGTGGTCGGCAAGTTGGGTAACCTTGAAGTCGGCAACGTCGCCTCCTCCACCCTCTTCAAAGTTGAGCTGAGAAGCAAGAGCCTCAAACATCGAGTCCTTCCATGCCAAGTAGTCCTCCTCCATACTCTTGTCGTCGTCACCCTCACCGCGTTCGCCAATGCGTTTGGCACCAAGCGACTGGAGACGAGCATCGAGCTTACGAGCGACAGCGTTGAAGTGTTCGTAGGTACGGTTGCCAAGACCAAAGATGACGTAGTTGAGGTTCTCAAGACGCTCGTTGCCGTTGGAGAACTCGGGAGACTGGTTCTCGATGAACTCCATCAGACCAACAGCGTTGTCTGTGGGTTCACCTTCGCCGTAAGTAGCCATCACAAAGACAGCAACAGTGTCCGCGGGCATCTGGTCGAGCTTCTCGAACTCATACTCTTCGGGGTCAAGAACGAGCGAGGAAGTGCCGAAACGAGCTTTAGCCTCCTTGGCGAGTTTGGTAGCGTACTCTTCGGCAGTACCGGTCTGGGATCCGTAGAAGATAGCGATACGTTTCTTCTGAGACTTGAGCTTGGAGACAAAGTCAGCACCATCTTGATCGGTAGCAGCGAGAGCGGAACCGTTGGCGAGCTTGGAACCAGTGTCTTTGGCAACGCCACCGAACAGACTATCGCGGAAGAGATAGAGAAGGGCGAGTAAGCCTCCAAGACCGAGGACGATCAAATCGAGTGAGGATGCCATATTGGCTAGAGAAAGCGTTAAGAGCTTGAGCACCAGTCGACAGCGATCACCGACGAAAAGGAGGGTGTGGTAGTAGTGTTGTTGATGATAATCGGTGACAGAGAGCGAGTTTGGTGCTCAGTCGTCTCGATGGTAGGTGATGATGTCGTGAAAGGAGAAGGGGCGGAGAGGAAGGTGAGAAAGCTGAAAGTGAATGGAAACGGTTGCCGCCGAGTCAAGTCGGATTTGCCGATGGAATTGTTGTATGAGAGCGCGTGTGTGTGGCTGCGTGATGCGTGTGTGTGGGTGGCTGACTTGCTAAGACATCAGGGTTGAAAGCCTCTCTCAGATGTTTCTGTGCTGCTTGGGGAGAAAGAAGAGCGCGATTCGCTCGCTCACTCCGCCGTCAATTTGGCCGTTCAGCCGTGTCCGTCTGTCTGTCTGTCTGTCTGTCTGCCTTGGCTAAGCTTTTTGCCACGTCGGCTGCCACCGAGCTGATCAGCGCAACACAAACTCTCGCACTCCAAATGGCGGTCACCTGTCTCTGTTCAAGTTACCACCGCCGAGCATACCATTCCATCTAAACTCACAGTCATGGTCGACAGTTGAAATTGTACATGCTGAATCGACTGTCGTTCCCTAATTTGAGCCTCGAACAGGCTGCAGAGCGTCACTTGACATGTTTGTTTCCAACAAAGTCGGGGCTCCATTGATCTGAAGCCTCCCACATCTCCGATGCCATGCACGTCGAGTGGGATTCTCGAGCCCGAAGGATATACCGGCCAGTATCCAGTCAGATCAGCATTGCATTACGAAGTGGAGTCGTGCGAATGGAACGTGCGCTCGTTTCAATGGTGGGCGAAGGCACGTGACCTGAGTCGTGTCACTTCATATTGCTCATCTCATCTCCTGTCGCTCTTGTTGCTTCTTCTCCATCATCTTCTCTCCTCTTGCGCAAGCCTCCTGGCTGCGCTTTGTCAAGTTCACCCTCCCTTCCCTCCCTTACCTTTCTCACGCTTGTTCATGCTTCTCACGCTTCGTTCTCTTTTGTACTTCGTTCTCACGCGCATTCCGCCTCGCTCTCACGCAGCGCTCGACCGGCCGTGCCTCTTACGGCCACGGCTGGGAGCCCGCAAGCGACTCACCTGAGTTAGGCAATTTAACATTCTGACGCAGACTTCAGGCGCGTGAGATAACTCACCGTTGATATGTATGTTTGACATCCAAATTGCTGCTGTCAACCATCTGTCAGGTGAGCCAAGAGTTGTTGATGATGAGCCGCAAAAAAAAAAAAAAAAAAAAAGAGGAAGAAAAACACAGTTTTCGGCATTCACGGCGGTGATGCGGACGAGTAGCGGAAAGGGTCGGATATTTGTTACAGTATTTCTCCTGACGAACTCGCTTTCACGTAATCCTCTTCAGAATTTCCTTCATTGCCAAGGTATGCTTGCACCGAGCGCTCGAGCTGTCTCATCTGCTGTCTTCGAGTGTTGTACGGATAGCGGCTGATTGCGCTGTCGAAAACTGGCAGTAGACAAGCAAGGCGGCCAGATTCTCAGTGGTGCTGGTGCAGGGTCGAAAGTCGGAGCCCCACACGGCATGCTTGTTCCGCAAGCTGGTGTCACCTGCTCAGAAAATGCATTGCTCTCGAATCAGTGTCGTTTTCATCTCTCCCCCCCGCTGTGTGCTATGCGCAGTTTGGGTTAATTGACAAGCTCGCTATCAGTTGATCACCCTGACAGCGTCTGCTTACCCGCTTCCTCGCCGTCCATTCCGAAGGAGGGATTTTAGCCGTTTTACCGTTCTCCAGACCCCACAGTCACCCTTGAATTCCGTCTCTGATCGCTCATGACTGGCTGTATGGCCGTCAAAGGGCTCAATCCAAGCAGCTCTGAGCTCTCAATTATGCAGGGTGGGCCATGACCGTATCCATACCGAGTGATGGAACAAAAGAGCTTTCAACTTGCAGATCATCCCAAAGCGCTTTAAGGCTAATGATATAATTTTTACCTACCCCACATGTTAAAGTTGCGATCATAGTGTAGTGGCTATCACGTCTCTTTCCCACATGTCCAACCAGGTGTTTAAAAGAGGAGGGCGCGGGTTCGAACCCCGCTGGTCGCATATTTTTACCTGTTTTCCGCACTCTTTTTCCCCTCGATTTTCTTTTTGCTGACACCAGCCCAACACACCCTTGCGAATATTGGATGCACACGAAGCCGTTACAGAGGGTAACGTCGTCGGACAGCTCGTTGGTCGAAGGATTTGGGATGAAGGTTTACATTTCGTACAATGTAATACAATTGTCGCGGTGTAGCACCGGCCGCTCAAACACCAAAGTAGACAGCCGAGATAGCCTTCATGATCCGATCAAAGTTAGACATCCTCGCCCTTCTACCGGTAGCGATCTCCTTCTCTGTCTGTGCTTCGATTCGTGTCCCAATAGCAGCGTATACCGAGCAAGCTGCTTTCAGTCCTGCTCTTGCCGGTTTGTTGGGAATCTGCCCTAATGCTGGGTAGGATTGATCGTACAGCCCTTTCGAGATGGTGAGCAGTCGCAAAGCATATTTACGTACTTCTTTGGGTTTGATCAGCTTGCCTCCTGCCGCAGAGGCTGTCGTTGCTGCTGCTACTGCTGAGCGCTTCGCAGAGGGTTCGGCAGGTACATCGAGTCGGCCTTGTAGCAACGCATCTTGCATGCCTGCATCAACCTTGGCAAACAGGTCAGCTGGTAAATAGCAGCGTCGCAGGTCGACAGCGTCAGGTACGATATCACGTGCAATGTTGACCAGTTGTAAGCTAACACCCATTCGTCTTGCTTCGTACAACAATATGTCTAAGTCTGCTGTTCGGGTGAGGTCTAGCTTTCTCTCTGCTGCTGACTTGTCCGCGGTCGCTGGTGTGGATTGCATCTTGATACTCCTATCGACTTGCAAGTCAAGCGGCACTGTCAAACCACACCTACCCAATATGACTCTTGTGCACATCTCGCCCACCACACCAGCAACGCACTGCGAGTACTCGACCAGATCCTCCATCGTCCTCAGCCTTGTCCTTTGAGCCTCTTCTGGATGTTCAAACCGCAAATCGGTGCTGTAGCCCTCCAACATCTCAAACCAGAGCCTTTTCGGGATGTACCGCGAAAGGGGTTCTATTGATGCTGCTGCTGTGCGGATATCCTCTTTTGTTGTTTCTGCAAGCTTGATCGGTGAGAGAAGGTCTCTGATACGGCTGCTGGTAGGCGTTGCCTCTGACGGCACCTTGTCAACTTCAGCAATGCTGGTATAGATCGCATCGACAATACTTCGGATCACCTCCAAGTGGGCTGTCCTGGCTTCGACGCTCTCGGCCTCGTCATCGACCAAGTCATCCGCGACGCGGCAAAAGGCGTACAGACAGCCCAAATCCGTCCGCAGATCCCAGGGCAACAACAAGCTCGCAGCGTTGAAAGACTTTGATGCAGCTCGTAACACGTTCAATGAGGCTACGAGATCGCTTGGCTCGACGCTTGCTGACGCCGCACTTGCGAGAAAAGGTTCTCGATCCGATCGAAGGAACGCGGACCAGAGCTTGATGTAGGTGCTGAGGGAGTTGAGAGGGAGGTAGCTGGGCGAAAGAGGTGGGAGGTCGGCAGATCCGGTTTGTCGACAGATGGCAACGCAGCGATCGAACGTGAAACAGGCGCTGACGAGGATGAGGTTGGTGACGAAGAAGAAAAGCATTTCCTCCACTGGCAAGTCTGGGATGGGGAAGATGTTGAGCGAGGTCGTTTCATTGATGTGCCATGTCCCCCTGCGCAGTGCGTAGACGTCGGAACACCAGAGGTACACTGTGGGAGCCATCACTGAGAGCGCAAACGGCACTAGCCCGGTGCGAAGGCCCATGTTGCGGATGAAGTCGATCGAGCCCCACAGCAGCAACGCCAATGGCAGGGATGCCCACCATGAGATCATGCCAAAGTAGTAGCCATGCGTGTCGGGTTTCGCCATCTTGGTTCCGACCACAAAGCAAGCCGCAAAAGCCACCAATGTCGGCGTGGCCCATCTCCTTTGCTTGCCTTGCGTCGTTGTTGGAACAAGGTAGATGTTGGGCAAATACCACCGAGTCAAAAGCGTACACCAAAGGGTGGAGATAAGACTCTGAATGATGAAGAAGAAGTACTCTTCAATCGGAACGTAGCCGATGGTGAACCAGATGCAATGGCGATGGTAGTACCAAGCACGGTTGTAAACGATGAGGTTGTCCCATGGTGTGGTCCAGACAAAGGCGATGATGGGAAGGAGGATGAGTTTGGCGCGGTCGAGTTTGGTGAGGAAGGGTCGAGCGATGAGGTAGAGGACCAAGCAGAGAGGGAGGGTCCAGAGTAGATGGAAATGACGGTAGGAAAGGGTGCACGCTGGCCATTCCGGGTTGGGTGGAGAAAGGTAGACCATTTTGTTAACGCGTTTTGATGAAGCAGCTCTTGGCCGCTACGTGTACGTGGTATGATACAGCCCTTTCGGTTGGAGCAGGAATAGGTCGTGAGGGGATCCTTTACTAGCGTTGCATTGTGACTGCTTCTCTTGAGTAGCTGGGAGAGGCGCCGCTCAGGTCGTACTGGTGAGAACTTGCGGTATTGATTCGGTCGACTTTAACTGGCGGACGAACCCGTAAGCCAAGAAGACGAAAGCACCTTCTATTGTTCTACCACCTGACCAAGGATTTGCAGCGTGTATACCCGCCAATGCGGATGGAAGCGATGGTGGTAGTGTTGGCGAAGGTGGTGATGAGGTCCAGAGAGAGGATAGAGAGAGACACGGGACAGGGTGCAGAAGGCAGGCGGTAAGCGCTACAGAGAGAGAGAGACGGGACTCGGAATCGATCGATCGGCTTTGCCGAAGAGACGGAGGCAGAGTCAGGAGGGTAGCAACTGCGGCACAGAGTCACAACAGCCGACGGATTCGGTTGTGCGCCTCGTCCTTCGACTTTACCGTAGGCAGAAAACAAGAAGCAAGAGACGGGCAGAGACAGCGAAGAGCCAATTAAAATCATCATGGAGAGAAATAGGAGCCTGGTTTGGCCCTCCTTGCCGGTCCTCCTTCCCACGCCATGCGTGAATTCAGTCGCTTTCGAATCAATGATTGAACCTTGATTGTGGATGAGAAGTGCCCATTTGAACTCGAACCATCCATGATGCAAGCCAGCATCAGAGCAAAGAACACAGGTGAATGAGTGATCCTATCGGATCGACCGACCATCATAGCAGCCACTCCACCCGTTTTAGACGTCACCGACAGCCAAGAGAGAGACAGAGGGTGAGAGTGATCAAACTCAGTCTGGCCTTATCGCTGTGATTGAGTTTGCCATGCGACCCACAATGAACTGCAATGTCGGCTCCCCCGGCAAAAGCTCTCTCCGCGCAGCTCATTTGCCTCTCAAGCGCTGTTTGTACTTACCGCAATTCGGTCAGAGCAAGCCAGAGTGGCACGAGGCCGAGTGTGTGAACGTGGAAAGCGGCGCATTTCTTACGTCGACAAGAGGCAAAATCCAACTCCGAGCATGCAATTTCAGTCTCATACAGTGAAGCAAAAATAGGTCAGAGAGAAGCTTCTTTTCTCTCATTTTTCTCATTTCTGAGACACCTTTTTTTCTTTTTTCTTTTTCTCTTTTTCCTTCTTTTTCCCTCTCACTTCTTGCGGAAAATGGAGCGCAATTCGCATTTCGCAATATTTGCATTTCTCGAATCGACTGACGTTCGCTTGGAACACGTTCTCTCTTTCTCCCGCTCTCTAACCACCGCCGCCGCCTTCTGCTGTGTGATTTTGAATTTCGGTGTGTGTGTGCGGTCTCTTTCAGCTGAAGCCACTTTTGGTGCTTCCCTGCTGTTGCTGTCTCTCACGCCACCAGAGCGTGCCTCGCCTCGCTCATTCCGATTTTTAACGCTCCTCAACCTATCTCGACACAATCATTCCCGTTCCCTCTGCCATTCGCTTCCATATTCACACCATCGACCTTCTCCTTTTCAATTGGTAGCAGCTCAATTCGACATCTGCTAGTTCCAACATCATTCTCCTTTTCGTTTCCTTTCGATCTACATCAACGTTTCCTTAGCCTCTCTCCGCAGAGCTCGCATCAAACACTTCCCTGCATCTCTCCCTCCAGTATCTGCAACAAAGCGCTTTCTCCCACCAGTCTCTAACACCATCGCAATCGCACGGATCATTGCTCATCTACGGTCATCACATACCATTCTTCCACGCTAATCGCGCCCGCCCGCTGCATATCCAGCTTTACGCGCAATTCTCAGCTTGGACCCTAATTTGTGCATCTACCACCTGCTTGTCCAGTTGACCACACGGTGCGCGCGTGTGGCAGAAGCCTCCAAGTTACAACCTCGTTGCGCTCATCTCTTCAAGAGCTTCCTACGAACCATCAGCCCAATATACTCGCCTCTCGCATCTGGAGCGACTCTAGGCGCTCAGCTCCGAAGGCTTACCCCCTTGGTCCATACAAGACCAGTAACAGCAACTTGTGGCCACCGTCGTCTCCTTGTCCCAAATGCTACACTGAAGCTCTAACTCGGCCCCGTCTTTGATTGTGGCTCCTGCCCCTTCCTAGCTGTATTGCTTCAGCGCCTATTTCTCAGCACAGAACAGAACGCGGAAACCGATATAGCTCACTCTACACGGCAACGGCAACATGCAGCATGCTATGGGCCGCAGATCCGACCCCAGTTCCAGCTCTACACAATCGTCAGCATCTCAAATTCCCGCTTCACTCGGCATCGCCACTCCCGCTAATCAGAAGAGATCGCTCAGCGAACGTCTTGGACTCTCCAGCAGTGCTTCTTCCTCCTCTCTCTCCTCACAGCGCAAGCCCAGCGATGGCCTCCAGTTCTGCAATGCAGACAGCACGCCTCGTCGCAATGCCGCCGAATGTGGTTCTTTTCCTTCCATTCCCAGCTGGGGTCCTCAGACGCACAACTCGTTCTCAAACCCACTCAATGGCCTTTCTGTCAGCAGCAGTATGGGCTCACTACGTTCGGCCTCGGCCTCCAGCTCCTCACGCAACTTTCTCGTTCCCATTGGCGCAACAGGTGCTCGTCAAAAGCTCTCGATTGCCAACGCTTCACAACGACGTCGTTT